GAGGAGGCTGCAATGCTTGGTAAGAAATGTACGCATTATCCTGCCCATGTAATTGTAACCCCTCTGTACAGTATGTTCACAAATAAAATAAAATTAAATTTTTAAAAAAAGTGGTCATTTATCTTATATCTGTAATATTCCTCTCCTTTCCAAGTTAGGTGAAGGAATGAGAATCCAGTCAGAAGACAAACTCTTTGCTATTTTAGTGAGCTCAGAAGACAACCCTTAGAAAGCTATCAGCCTTTGTATAAGATTCTATTGGAATGAGTAGTATATGTTTTGATTGACTGTAGCAAGATTATTATGAGCAAAGTACCTTCCAAATGACAAAGATTAATGTGTGTGTGTGTGTGTGTGTGTGTGTGTGTGTGTGTGGTTGTGTGAGTCTGTCTTTTTGGCTAAAACTCAGAGCCTTGTGCTTATTTTGCTTTCTTGCTTGTGGTTGATAGAACTCTTGAACTACTCTTTGAGTCCAGCATTTCCTGGTTAATTGGAAATGGAATCTCAGGTGTTTTCAAATTACTATCCTCAGTCTCATCCTCTGAGTAGACAGGATTATAGATGTAAGACAGTCGCATGCCCATCCATCCCAGATTATGATGAAAGCACATTGAATAAGCAAGTAGAGACAAAAGTGTGAGTCTAAATTGAGTACTTAACTAGCAGGAACAAGGTTCCCAGATTATCCTGTACCCAAACAGTGAGATCATTGAGTAAGCTAGTACATACAAAAGCATGACTCCACATTGAGCACTTAGTGCAAGTATGGTGATCTGTGTACACACCTCAGTGTTGGAGAGATGTCATGGTATGGGCAGAAGATCAGGTGATGTAGCTCAAATAACTGAGCACCTGCTTAATCTGCACAGACCTTGCTGTAAATAGTTAGCACTTTGGTTAAAAAAAGTATGGTTTCTATTACATAGAGCAACTTAATTTTCTGTTTGTTATTCATTTGTTCACAGTGACACAGATTCCATACCAGATGTTGTCATCAATTCTGGTAACAACGTAACTACTGGGTGAGTTATTTTCTTTTGTCTTCTGCATGGTAAGCTATTTTTTTGGAATATAATGACAATCAACAGAATACATGATGACCTATCAAAAAGTATCTGTAATAATATTCAGTTTTGAAACTAAATAGAAAATGCTAGAGCAGGTCAAAAGTGACTTGGTCATGGTCTGCTGTGAATTCAAAGACTGGCAGGCACAATCCTTAGTCAGAGTATCAACATGCATGTATGCGGCTCATAAAGAGCCCAGGGATGTAAGAATTCCTCTCAGAAACACGGAGGCAGTCCCAGTGTTCTATAAATCTCAGTAGATAGGAGAATCATCTACCTTAGACCAATTCTTCATACTCAGGAACTCAGTTTACCCTGAAAGGCCCACCATCACATTGGATGGGAGTCCTGCTTCTAGCCTGCTGTTCTTTGTTCCTATCTGGCAGGCATGAAAGACTGGCATGATTACTTTATTTCTTTTTTTGTCTGTTAATGATTTTTTTAATTTGAAAATACCATACAGAGGGGTTACAATTACATGGGCAAGATAATGGGTACATTTCTTATCAAGCATTGTAGCCTCCTCCTTTGTTCCCCCTTCCTATCCTTCCCATCCTCCCCACTCCCCCTACCTCACCCATCCTCCCCGCCCCCCAGTGACTACATTTCTTATCAAGCATTGTTGCCTCCTCCTTTGTTTCCCCTTTCAATCCCTTCCCATACCCCCCCACACACATGATTATTAAGGAGGGAATAGAGAAGGCTTAGGAAGCAGAATATTAGATGGAAAATTAGATTGTGAGGGTTGTGTTATTGTGAAATAAGCTGAATTTAAAATTAGTTCAACAACAATAGGACATTAAACTTTTGTTATGTTTATAAGAATAGAATTATCCTTTATTTCAGTGTGCCAGTCATTGGGCTTGAGATTAGGGTCTGAGCCATGTTCCTGAGTGTGTTTTGCTCAAGTCTAGCACTCTAGTCCCCAACCCACAACTCCACTTCCAGTGTGTTTGAGTATCATGGACTTTCTGTCCAGTATGGTTAAAATAGGATCCTCAGATCTCAATCTTTTGAGAGGGTAGGATTATACAAATACTTGACCTAGTAAGGAACTATTCTCAAATCTTTCCTAAAACCTTTGTTTAGCAGGCCTAAACATGTGATTTCCCCTCACACCCTCATTTTGAGGGAAAGACAAATACTTCTTTCTATATAACTAATATGTAAAACTTTCAAGTTCTACCAATTTATTAGTTTTAAGTAAATTGTAGCTAAGTTGGATGAAAATGTAAATGTATTTGCCTGATATTTGACTCTGTATAATTTAATTCTTTTAGCATGGAAGCGAATAAAGCAGGAGATCTTATACTTCAAGATGTTAGTGAAAGGTGAGATGCATTCCTATATGTATATATACATGTACATAAAGATACACAGGTATTAAGCCAGAATTTCTGGGAGATGTATTAAAAGATTGGGTATTACAGCATTGTTTGTAATGTTCCCAGTTTTCCAAGTTAGGTGAATGAATGAGAAGCCAATCAGAAGACAGCCTTAGTGCTATTTTAGTGAGAAGTGAGTAAAACTCCTAGCAAGCTATCTGGTAGCCTGTGTCTGAGTCCTTATTTGAACGGACAGTACATGTGTTTTATTACTTTACTAACAAATTATTACAAACAAAATAGCTCATACACTTACAACTTATTCCACAGTCCTGGGGGATAGAATTCTTATGTCAAAGTGCCATTGGTGTTGGCTCTTTTCTTGCCTGTAAAAAATAATCTCTTCATACCCCTTTTTCCTATTTTACTGTTTGTTCACAATTGTATAGCATGGGGACTCATCCTCTAATTCACTGCATCATCGTCTTCATCATCATCATCATCATCACCATTATCATCATCATCATCATCATCATCATCATCATCATCACTATTACTCTCATTATTATTATTGTTGTTGTTTTTTCTAATCTTTTGGTTGAATACAGAGCTGGGGTACAGTCCTTAAGTTTACTGTTATTATTTTGTTCAATCTTCAGGCTTGAACTCATAGCCAGGGTGCAGACCTTGAGTGTATTTTGCTCAAGGCTAGTGCCCTATCCCTTGAGACACAGGTCTACTTCTGTTGTTTTCTGAGTTGTTTATAGCAGATAAAAGTCTTAGGAGCTGGCTGCTAGTGGCTCATGCCTGTAATCCTAGCCACTCAGGAGGCTGAGCTCTGAGTACCATGGTTTTAAGCCAGCCCAGGCAGAAAAGTAAATGAGACTCTTATTTCTAATAAACTATTAAGAAAAAGCCGGAAGTGGCTTTGTGGCTCAAAAGGTAGAGGTCTAACCAGGAGCAAAAGAAGCTCAGGGATAGTGTCCAGGCCCTGAGTTGTAACCCTAGGACCGGCATGTATATGTGCATTTGTATGCATGTGTGTTTGCAGGATTGTGGAGACACACACACACACACACACACACACACACACACACACACACACATGCAAACACACACAGAGTCTCCGGTACTTGCCTCACTGGGCTGACTTCAAGCTGAGACCCTTGTTTCTCAACCTCCTGACCAGCTATGATTATATGTGTGAGCTACATGTACTTGGCCTAGGAAAGAAATAGTCTTAAATCTGCCGTGAAGCATTTCTTATGCAGGTATGTACATTTACTTTGCCTGACACACCTTGTTTGTCAAGATAACTGGAAATACTCTTTATTACTAGGTATATAAAACTTGCCATTTCTACCAGTTTATTAACTTTAGGAGAATTGTAGCTAATGAGTGAAGAAGTAAGGGTAGGAATTTACCCCATATTTGACTTTGCATAATATAATTGTTTAATGTGGATATAAAGGAACCAATAGAATTCACACTGGAAGGTCAGATGCATGCATATATATACTTGTGTGTATATATATAATGCATGCATACATACATACATACTTGAATACAAAGATACAGAGATATAAAGCCAAAATTTCTGGGAACTATATCAAAAAGGTGGTTAGAGTATCTTATATCTGTAATATTCCTCTCCTTTCCAAGTTAGGTGAAGGAATGAGAATCCAGTCAGAAGACAAACTCCTTGCTATTTTAGTGAGCAAAGCAGAAAACCCTGAGAAAGCTATCAGCCTTTGTATGAGATCCTGTTGGAATGAGTAGTTTACGTATTGATAGACTCTAGTAAGATTATCATGAGCAAAGTACTTTCCAAATGACAAAGACTAATGTGTGTCTGCATGGGTGTGTGTGGTTGTGTGTGTGTGTCTGTCTGTTATGGCTAAACTGTCTGTTATGGTGGAACTCTTGAACTACTCTTTGAGTCCAGTATTTTGCTGGTTAACTGGAGATGGATTCTCATAGGCATTCTCACGCTAGGTGGTTTCAAATTACTATCCTCAGTCTCAGCCTCTTAGTAGATAATATTATAAATGTGAGACAGTAGCTTGCCCATTCATCCCAGATTATTATGAAAGCACAATAAGCAAGTAGACACAAAAGAATGAGTCTAAACTGAGCACTTAACTGGCAGGAACAGGGTTCCCAGATTATACTGAACCCAAACAGGGAGATCATTGAGTAAGCCAGTACAGACAAAAGCATGACTCTACATTGAGCAAGTACAGTGATCTAAGTTCAAACCTCAGTATTTGAGAGATGTCATGGTATGGGCAGAAGATCTGGTGATGTAGCTCAAGTAACTGAGCACCTGCTTAGTCTGCACAGACCTTGGTGTCAATAGTCAGCACTTTGATTAACAAAAGTGTGTTTTCTTATACATAGTGCAACTTAATTTTCTGTTTGTTTTTCATTTGTTCACAGTGACACAGATTCCATACCAGATGTTGTCATCCATTCTGGTAACAACTTGACTACTGAGTGAGTTATTTTCTTTTGTCTTCTGCATGGTAAACTATTTTTTTGGAGTATGATGACAATCGACAGAATACATCATGACCTATCAAAAAGTGTCTGTAATAATATTCAGTTTTGAAACTAAATAGAAAATGATAGAGCAGGTCAAAAGTGACTTGGTCATGGTCTGCTGTGAATTCAAAGATTTGAAGTCACAATTCTTAGTCAGAGTATCAACATGCATGTATGCGACTCATAAAGAGCCCAGGGATGTAAGAATTCCTCTCAGAAACACGGAGGCAGTCCCAGTGTTCTGTAGATCTCAGTAGGTAGGAGAATCATCTACCCTAGACCAATTCTTCATTCTCCAAAAGTCTATTACCCTGAAAGGCCCACCATCACATTGGATGGGAGTCCTGCTTCTAGCCTGCTGTTCGTTGTTCCTATCTGACAGGCATGAAAGACTGACATGATTGCTTTATGAAGGAGGGAATAGAGAAGAAAAAGGAAGCAGAAAATTAGATGGAAAATTAGATTGAGGGTTGAGTTATTGTAAATTAAGCTGGATTTAAAATAGTTCAACAACAATTGGACATTAAACTTTTGTTATGTTTATAAGAATAGAATTATTCTTTATTTCAATGTGCCAGTCATTGGGCTTAAGATTCGGGTCTGAGCCATGTTCCTGAGTGTGTTTTGTTCAAGTCTAGCACTCTAGTCCCTGATCCACAATTCCATTTCCAGTGTGTTTGGTAGCTAGTGAGAGAGATGAGTCTCATGGACTTTTCTGTCCAGTATGGCTACAAACCATGATCCTCAAATCTTTCCTGAAACCTCTGTTTAGCAGGTCTAAACATGTGATTTCCCCTCACACCCTCATTTTCAGGGAAAGACAAATATTCCTTTTTATATAACTAAAAATGTAAAATTTTCGAGTTCTACCACTTTATTAGTAAATTGTGGCTAATTTGAATTAAAATGTAAATATATTTGCCTGATATTTGACTGTGTATAATTTAATCCTTTAGCCTGGAGGAGAATAAATCAGGAGGTGTTATACTTGAAGATGCCAGTATAAGGTGAGGTTCATTTATATGTACACACACACACACACACACACACACACACATATATATATATATGTACATAAAAATATACAGGTATTAAGCCAGAATTTCTGAGAGATGTATCAAAAGATTGGGCATTACAGCTTCGTCCATAATATTCCCAGTTTTCCAAATTAGGTGAGTGAATGAGAAACCAGTCAGAAGACAGCCTCAGTGCTATTTTAGTGAGCAGTGAGTAAAACTCCTAGCAAGCTATCAGATAGCCTGTGTATGAGACCCTATTTGAATGGACAGTATATATGTTTTATGACTTTACTAACAAATTATCACAAAGAAAATAGCTTATGCACTCACAAGTTATTCCACAGTCCTAGGGGATTGAAGTCTCATGTCAAAATGCTTTTGTTATGGCTCTTTTTCTGGCCTGTAAAAAATAACCTTTTCGAACCACTTTTTCCTATTTTGCGGTTTATCCACAATTTTATAACATGGGGACTCATCCTCTAATTCTCTGCATTATTGTCCTTTTCATCATCATCATCATCATCATTATTACTATCATTATTTTTTTATTAATTTGTTCCATTCTTTGTGCAGGAACTCAGAGCCGGGGTGCAGATCTGAGCTTACAGTTATGTTGATGATGATGATGATGATGATGATGATTTTGTTTCAGTCTTTGGGCTTGAACTCAGAGCCAGGGTGCAGACTTTGAGAGTATTTTGCTAAGGCTAGTGCCCTACCCCTTGAGACACAGGTCCACTTCTGTTGTTTTCTGAATACTTTATAGCAGATAAATGTCTTAGGAGCTGGCTGCTAGTAGCTTATGCCTGTAATCCTAGCTACTCAGGAGGCTGAGCTCTGAGGATCATGGTTTTCAGCCAGCCCAGTCAGAAAAGTACATGAGACTCTTATTTCCAATAAACTTTTCAGAACAAGCCAGAAGTGGCTTTGTAACTCAAGAGGTAGAGGTGTAGCCTGGAGCAAAAGAAGCTCAGGGACAATGTCCAGGTCCTTGATTCTAACTCCAGGACCAGTGTGTGTATGCATTTATGTGTGTGTATATGTTGGTGTATATTTTTTGTGTGCGCACACACATATATACACTAACACACAGGCATGGACACGCACATACACGTACACACAAACAGACACACAGAGTCTCAAGGACTTTCCTCTCTGGACTGACTGCAAACTGAGACCCTCATTTCTCAGCCTCCTGGTCAGCTATGATTATATGTGTGAGCTATGTGCACCTGGCCTAAGAAAGAAATAGTCTTAAATCTGCCATGAAGCATTTCTTTTACAGGTGTGTACATTTACTTTGCCCTAGACACCTTGTTTCTCAAGATAACTGGGAATACCCCTTTTCTTATTACTAGGTATATAAAACTTTCAAGTTCTACCAATTTGTTAATTTTAGGAGAACCATAGCTAACTTGAGTGAAGAAGTAAGGGTATGAATTTACCTCATATTTGATTTGCATAATGTATGTGATTAATGTGGATATAAATGAACCAATAGAATTCACACTGGAATATGTCATCAAAAGATCAGATGCATGCATTCATATATATATGTTTTTGTGTTTATATATGTATATTAATACATATGTGAATACAAATATAAATATGTATTAAACAAGAATTTCTGCGAAGTATATAAAAAATGTGGGCAGTCTATCTTATATCTGTAATATTCCTCTTTTTCAAGTTAGGTGAAGGAATGAGAACCCAGTCAGAAGACAAACTCCTTGCTTTTTTAGTGAGCTCATAAGAAAACCCTTAGAAAACTATCAGCCTTTGTATGAGATCCTATTGGGATGAGTAGTATATGTTTTGATTGACTGTAGTAAGATTATTATAAGCAAAGTACCTTCCAAATGGCAATGATTAGCATTTGTCTGTGTGTGTGTGTATGTCTGTGTGTGTTTGAATATTGTGTTTGTATGTTGTTTTGGTCATGGATAAATTTGGAGACATGTATCTATTCTGCTGTATTTTGGGGGACATTTCTATGGATGGAACTCTCTGGTCCTGGGCACTGTCCCCAAGCTTCTTTTGCTCAAGGCTAGCAGTCTACCTCTTGATCCACAGTACCAACTCCAATGTTTTCTATTTATGTGGTACTAAGCAATGTACCCAGGGATTCATGCATGCTAGGCAAGCATTCTACCAAGTCCCTCTTCTGCTTTTTTGTTCATGGTTGCTGTGTTAACTCTTTTTTCTTCTTTTTTTAATATATATTTATTATAAAAAATACTGTACAGAGGGTTTACAGTTACATGAGTAAGATGATAAGTATATTTCCTATGGAGCCTTGTTTAGCTCCTGCTTTGTTTTTTCCCTACCATCGCTTTCCTGGCCACTACCCCAACTCTTCCCTCTCCCCACCCCCTCAGAAATTGTAAAGTTCGTTTTCAAGATAGAGTCTTGTACATCTCATTGTTTGAATGGGTCAACCTGAATCCTTATTTAAGCATTTTCTTATTTCCCTTTTCCTCTCCAAATTATAAAATTGCATATGCAAGATGTAGGGCACCAGAATCAAATACAGTGAAAACAGGGGTTATACTGGGGAAAGAACATACAAAAGAAATTTAAAAATCACATAGTATATTTAAAGTATATTAAAAAATAATATCAAAAAAGAATAAAACCACTTGTATTACTATTTTGGTATTCATTTCACTTAACATCATCTTATATGGTCATATGTACATAGCTTTTGAACTTTTGTTCTTGTCTTAAACATATACTAGTTATTACAAATAAGGGAAATCATGGGACCTATGTATCTTTGGTCCTGACTTACTTCACTTAATAGAACTTTTTGCAAGTCTTTCCATTTCCTAACAAATGGGGTGTGATAAACATAGTTGTGCTGGTCGCCTTACTATAGCTTTGTTTGTTATTATTTGGGTAAATGCCCAAAAGTGGGATTCCTGGGTCATAGGGGAGCTCTATGTGGAGTCTTTTGAGGAACCTCTATACTGCTTTCAAAAGTGGTTGAACAAGTTTACACTCCCACCAACAATGCAGTAGGGTTCGCTTTTGACCACATCCCCTCTAGCATATGTTGTTATTGGATTTCTTTGTTATAGCCATTCTAACTTGGGTGAGATGGAATCTCAATGTTATTTTGATTTTCACTTCTTTTATGGGTACAGAAGTTAAGCATTTCTTCTTGTGTCTATTGGCCATTCTTATTTCCTCTTCTGAGAAGTTTCTCTTTAAGTCTTTACCCCACTTATTTATTGGGCAGTTGTTTCTTTGAGGATTTGTTGTTGGAGGATTTAATTTTTTGAGTTCTAAGTATATTTTAGATATGAAACCCTTGTCTGTTGTATGGCTAGTGAAGATCTTCTCCCAATCCGGGATTTCTATGATTTTGCTAGATATATCCTATGCCTGCATATGTTCATTAAAGAAATGTGTCTATAGTTCTCTTTCTTTGATGAGTCTCTGCCTGGTAGGAAGAGGTTTAGAATGGCTTCATAGAGTTTGATAGTGAACTTTCACTTTCAATTTCATTGAAGAGTTGGAGGAGTATTGGTGTGAGTTCCATTTTGAAGGCCTTGTAGAATTCAACTGTAAATCCATCCAGTCCTGGGCTTTTCTTGGGTGGGAGGTGTCTTATTGCTGTTTCTATTTCAATTCTGGATATGGGTCTGTTAAATTTATTTAAATTATCTTGGTTTCATTTCAGCATGTTGATATTTGCTAGAAAATTATCCATTTCTTCCACAGTCTCAAACTTACTAGCATAAAGGTTTGAGAAGTATTCCCTTATAATGTTCTGAATTTTGGTTGTTTCTGTGGTGATGCTTCGATTCTCATGTCTGAGTTTGTTTATTTGGATGTGTTCTATTCTTTTGCTGATAAGATTTGCTAAGGGTTTGTAAATTTTGTTAATGTTTTTGAAGAACTCTTTGTTTTGTTGATTCTTTCTATGGTCATTTTGTATTCTAATTCATTTAATTCTAATTTAATTTTAATTATTTGTTTCCATCTACTGGATTATAGTTTAGCTTGCTTCTCTTTTTCAAGGAACTTCCGGTGTCTCCCTAGGGGAGATTCATATTCAATAAAGTGATCAATTCCAGAAGTCAGAAAATCCACCCAAGACACTTTTTGTTTCTTTTTGTACTTACATATTGGGGCACTGATTATTCAATCTATAGGCTTATACATACCAAGCATCTCAATGAGTCTATTACTTATTTTTGCAAACAAAGAAGCTGGACACTAGTGTCTCACACCTGTAATTTTAACTAATCAAGGGACTGAGATCTGATGATTGTGATTGAAACACAGCCTAGAAAGGAAAGTCTATGAGATTGTTACATCTCTAGTTAGCTTCCAAAAGCCAAATGTGTCACTCAAGTGGTAGAGCATCAGTCTTGAGTGAAAAGACTGAGAGTGCTCACCATATAAACACAAAAAGAAAGAAGTGACAGAACAAAGGAAAGAAGGAAGAAAAGAAAGATCAAAGGAAGTAAATATACCTCACTAGCAATGACAAACACAGTTAAAATGGAAGAATGGAAAAGATTTTCTAAGAAATGGAAATTTAGCAAATGTAAATAATATATTTACATGATTCCAGCAACCCATGAAACTTTTTCCAAAGTAAATAATATTCTAGGGCATAAATGCAGTATTATTTTCTTTTTACTTCTTTTCATTTCTTCTCTCTCTCTCTCTCTCACTCTCTCTCTCCCCATTACTCTATAGTAATTATGCAGTATTATTTTCTTTTTACTTCTTTTCGTTTCTTCTCTCTCTCTCTCTCTCTCCCCATTACTCTATAGTAATTATACAAATGTAGTCTTAACAAATATAAGAACATATTATACTCCTGAATTTTATCATACCACCATGAAATTAAACTAGATATAGGCATCAAAATTAACTGCAGAAAATGTTGAGCTACATAGTGATAGAACAAAATGGTTTAGACTGATTTGGGGTTATTGAAGAAATAAGAGAGGAATATATATATATATATATATATATATATATTGGATTGACTTGAAATCAATTCAGTTATAAAATACTGTTACACATTGGTTAGGTTCAGTAATAAAGATCAGAACTCAAGTCATTCACCTTGCTGACATGTTTGAATTTGTATTTTAAATTGAATTTTTAAAGATCAGAAGACCTCAAGGTAAGAGCAGACACCCTGAAAAAAATACAGGAAGGATTAGGAGAAACTTTAGGGGTCCTTGGTACAGGCTTACATTTTCTTAATAAAGCCCCAGAAACACAATAAATTGAAGAATGGATGGACAAATGGGATTGCATTAAACTGCAGCACTTCTGCATGTCAAATGACATAGCTAGCAAGATCAATAGAAAGCCTACAATAGATCTTCAATAGAAGATCTTCACTAGCCACACTACAGACAAGGGCCTTATATCTAATATAGTTAGAACTCAGTATTTTAAATCCCCCAAGACAAATGCTCAAAGAAACAACTGCCCCATTAATAAGTGTGCTAAAGACTTAAAGAGAGACTTCTCTGAAGAGGAAATAAGAATGACCAATAGACACATGGAGAAATGCTCATTTCTGGCCATAAATGAAATGCAAATCAAGACAACATCGAGATTCCACCTCACCCCAGTTAGAATGGCTATAATCAAGAAATCCAATAACAACAGGTGCTGAAGGGGATGTGGCCAAAAAAAAAGGAATGCTACTACACTGTTGGTGGGAGTATAAACTTGTTCAGTCACTCTAAAAAGCAGTATGGAGGTTCCAGAAAAGACTAAACAAAAAAAAGACTAGGGCTGGGATGGTGGCTCAGTGGTAGAGCGCTTTGCCTTGTATGCCTGAGGCCTGGGTTCGATTCCTCAGCACCACATAAGCAGAAAGAAAAAAGCCGGAAGTGGAGCTGTGGCTCAAGTGGTAGAGCACTAGCCTTGAGCTGAAGAGCTGAGGGACAGCGCCCAGGCCCAGAGTTCAGGCCCCACGACCGGACCAAAAAAAATAAAAAATAAATAAAGAGCCAAGGGATGTAAGAAACACGGAGGCAGTCCCAGTGTTCTGTAGATCTCAGTAGGTAGGAGAATCATCTACCCTAGACCAATTCTTCATTCTCCAAAAGTCAATTACCCTGAAAGGCCCACCATCACATTGGATGGGAGTCCTGCTTCTAGCCTGCTGTTCTTTGTTCCTATCTGACAGGCATGAAAGACTGACATGATTACTTTATGAAGGAGGGAATAGAGAAGAAAAAGGAAGCAGAAAATTAGATTAGATTGAGGGTTGAGTTATTGTGAATTAAGCTGGATTTAAAATAGTTCAACAACAATTGGACATTAAACTTTTGTTATGTTTATAAGAATAGAATTATTCTTTATTTCAATGTGCCAGTCATTAGGCTTGAGATTCGGGTCTGAGCCATGTTCCTGAGTGTGTTTTGTTCAAGTCTAGCACTCTAGTCCCTGATCCACAATTCCATTTCCAGTGTGTTTGGTAGCTAGTGAGAGAGATGAGTCTCATGGACTTTTCTGTCCAGTATGGCTACAAACCATGATCCTCAGATCCAAATCTCTTGAGAGGCTAGGATTTTATCTCTGAGCACAGACACTTGGCCTAGTAAGGAACTATTCTCAAATCTTTCCTGAAACCTCTGTTTAGCAGGTCTAAACATGTGATTTCCCCTCACCCCCTCATTTTGAGGGAAAGACAAATACTCCTTTTTATATAACTAAAAATGTAAAACTTTCAAGTTCTACCACTTTATTAGTAAATTGTGGCTAATTTGGATGAAAATGTAAATATATTTGCCTGATATTGGACTGTATATAATTTAATTCTTTAGCCTGGAGGATAAAGCAGTAGGTGTTATACTTGAAGATGCCAATAAAAGGTGAGGTTCGTTCCTATATGTATATATACATAAAGATACACAGGTATTAAGCCAGAATTTCTGGGAGATGTATCAAAAGATTGGGCATTACGGCTTTGTCTGT